CTAGTCCAATTGGAAAAATCTTGTTGAAATTTTTCGCTATTGCATTCTTTACACCATTTGTTTCCAGTAGACATTTTTTACAATTTTTGCAAGTTTCTATTTTTTAAATTAAAGTTAATTAGTATTATTCCTTTTATTTTTACTTATTTGAGATGTTTGCTATTAAAATTGAATACAGTATAATTCATGAGCAAAACGTGATTTGAATCGCAAACCGCACATTTAAATACAAATTTTTATAAATCTTAAATAATAAATTCGACAATATCATCTTACCATTATGAGATTTGTCATCTAAAAAATTAAAGTATTTTTAAATTAAGAAGAGTTAAATAACAACAGAAAATATAAATAATAATACCTACAATCTAAACCATTGAATTTTGTTAAATTTATAAGAATAATTAATTATAATAAATCAATAACATTAAGTGTAAGTCCTAGTATGAAAAATAGTTAACAACATATGCTTACCGTCCATATCATTTAAATCATCTAAAACATTAAAGATTTAAAATAAAATATTTAGTTATGCAAATGGTAATTATAATTGAATATAGTTAGTACGTACCATCTGAATTATTAAATAACTTTAATATTTTAGTTAAATTTCAATTAAATATCTTTAATTAATGAACTGCCTTACCCCCTTTAAAATCATTAATTACTAATATTCAATAATTTAATAATAATTTAGTTTTATTTTGATATAATGAAAATAATGAAAAATATAATTAAATATAATTATCGATAACTTACGATCTAAAATCATTAAATAAATTATTTTAGTTTAAGTGAATAGTAAAATGTGTGATGAATAAACGAACATACCCTCTATAGCAACATCAATTATTAAATAGTTTATAAATAAACAAGTTATTATTTTTAAACTTTAATAAAGTATAATTAATTATTGTTGTTAACTTACGATCTGAGTCAATAAATATTTTTAAATAAAAATTTAGTTTTTAAATTATATAATTCAAATCATTGATCGATAAAATAACTTACATCCTATAAACATAAAAATAATTATTTTTATCGAGTTAAAATTTAATTTAAATTATAATGAAAAATAATAATAAATGAAATAACTTACTTCCTGCAATATTAAATAACCGAGCGTATTAGATTTATAATAAAAATATAATTAATCAGTAGAAATTTAACGTTAATCGATAAAGTATAACCTACCAACTATTGGTTAAATATTATTTTGAAATAATAAGATTAGTACGAATTTTAATTACAATAAGAATTGTAGTTGACCGATAAATAGCTTACTCCCTATAATATAACCAATCATTTAATGATTTTTTAAATTTTAAATTTAGTTGAATTTAAGCTACAATTCACAGTATAAAGAAATTTATATGACTTACAATCTAAAGTATGATCGATTTTATTTATTTTTTAAAAAAAAATTAATTAATAAAAAATTATGTTTAGATTTGATAAATATTCTTACCTTTTAATTCCTTTAAAGCGGGATCATCTTCTGAATCTCGCTCTAATGTGACATAATTATTGTAATTTATTTAATTAGAAACAAATTTTTTTCGTCACAGGTCCATTTGGCATATAAACTTGTTTTTTGGTATGCTAATTTTCAATGCTTACCGACTTCGTCTAATTCAGGCACTTTTTTCTTATTTTTTGTTTTGGTAAATAAATTTTTAAGTTTTTTAATTACACTTTTACCTTTATTATTGTTATCAGACATTGAATAGATTCTAAAAGAAAAAGAGAATGGTGTTAACTGAGCGTTTCTTTTCTTTTAGCTTGTGGCTGAATCAAAAAAAACCGGCTGCATGTCGATCATTTTTTATTTGTCAATGAATAATAGTATGACGCAGCTAAATAAGTAAAAGTAGTTGACAATAAAAAGGCAGATGCTCTAAAAAAATTTTTTGAGTAAAATGTCAATTTTGTATTTAGCTTATAAACCAAAATATTTTTTCGATAAAAATGTTTATAATTGTTATTGATTGTCATATCTTTTTATTTTTTTAATTTATTTAATTTGTTGTAAAGAAACAGGATTCACAAAAAAAAATAAATCGTGTTTCAGAAAGTTACATTTGGAAGAAAAGTCTTTCAGATTGATAGTGGATATTTGGCCGCCAAAAATTCTGGTGTATAATAATATAATCTTGTTCAAAAATTATGAAAACTAGAAACTTATCAAATTCAAATTCAAACCTAAACGAGGCCGGGACAGAATTTGGAACTCTCATCTGTGCCTTAATTAGTATATAACGTAACGCTTTACTTTTATATGATGTGTAATTAGTATAATTACCATTATTAATGCTTCTTCAGGAATTTTAATTTAATTTTTAAATCAAATAAATTACTCCGATCAGCATCATTCAATTAGATTGGATTCATTTATAATTGCATTTAGTTTCTCTTCATATTATAAATGCTGGGTGAATAATTATTCGATAAAAAAACCTTCACATCCTAAATTTTGTCCGAAGTATTAAATGTACGACTTACCAAAATCGACAAAATTGAATTCATCATTACATAACACAAATAAATTCTATTACTAATTAAAGAATTCCCTAATATGGAAATTAAATTTGACCTGAGAAACAAATATTAGCGAAATAATATAATTCAAAAATTTTTATTTTGAAATATGACATAAAATTTAAGTAAATTAGTATAATTTAATAAAACGAAAATGCAATGTTTTAAAAGTTTGTCAATTTTCGCACAATATAATTTATTACTTGCGGGTTGATAAAACCCTAATTTTCGGGGATAAACACTTGGAATTCGAAGGTACCATCAAACCTATAAAAGTCGTCAAAAGATTAAAAGTACGTTTAGAGAATATACAATTACGTATGGGAAATTTTCAGAAAACGTCAGGTCATTAGAAAAATTATTTAAAAAGCAACTGGAAAATGTGTACAAACCTAATCACTTCGAATTGCAGGTTTCGGAATGTTTATGCCAGTTGTTTAGATATTCCGACGTCTTTTGAAAATTTTCTGTGCGTATCTATACGTTTCTCAATATCATAATTATCTAATCAAAAATATATGTAGATGTTAATTTATAAATAATCTTTGCATCTCACTGTTCATGGCATCAATCGATATTTAACTCGCTCTTCATATTATTTTAATAAGTATAACAAAATTAGGTCCTTACTATTTGACATGATGTATTAAAGGTTATTAACGCAAGACTAACTTCAAACGTTTTGCTTTGGCATGGATAGATACGTTACCGCTAAAAGCTGTACATAAAATACGAACATACTTTCCGATAATGCAACAAAATCATAATTTTTGATAGCCAATTCTGTAAGATGAAATATTTTTTTTTTGCTTAGAATTCACGTCACACATGAACCGATCTATTCACGTGATAACGACATTTTTTAATGTTTGAAAATAAAATAAAAAGAATATGTGATGTATTGACAAACACAAGTATAAAAATCATTAAATAACACATAATAATGAATACCAAAGCAAACAATATCACTCGAATTATATACATACGAATCAAGTTCTTAAGTTGTGTCATAAAGTTCCTGCCTCGTCTGAAGATACATTAATATTTAATTAATAATAATAATGTGCCCATTTTTCCAACAATATAATTAATTCGAGATTGTTTCACGTTCTTACGGGTTATTAAAATCTGGATACATTTATTTATTTATTTTGCAGAATGTCAACGGAACTTGTTATGTGTAGTGACAATTATGCGTAGATTAGGTAAAAAATACTTCAGACACGCATTTTCCAAATTTCTTTTGTTATATTGACTTTTATTCGGATATCTAGGGACAAAATAATTTTTTATTAATCTTCGAAAATCAAACCAGTAATTAGTTCATGGTTTAGTTTCGTTACTCAAGAGATAAAAAAACTTTTTTTTTTAGCTTTTTTTTACGTTGCTGTTGATTTCATTTTTGAATCACATACGTATCAGGATGCATTTCAGCAACAAGGGAAAAGTTCATTTATAAAGATTCTATTAAAACGACAGAACCAGCTTTATTAATATCACATCGAAGTGACTGTCGAAATCGGTGACTTTATTTAGTAGCAGATAAGATAATAACTGCATTGACGTGCATAGGATCCGATAATGCACGAAAATTGCATTAATATTTGGATGGAAAAGAGACAATGCAATAATATTATAAAATATTTATTTGCGCATGGGGAAAATTTTTAACGTGTAAAACCTGGATATCTTTCGGTTATGTGATCTTTGGACTCACTTCGAACGAAATTTCAAGGAGTTTTTAACGATGCAAAGATATAAAAAGAGAACGAGAAAGGGAAGAAATAATTGTCTAAAAATTTGCTATAAATGCTCGATTACCTGAAAAAGGGCTTTTTTTTTTCAGGTTTTTAAATCTAATTCGCAATAAAAAAAAAATAAAATAAAATAAAACCTATATGAAAATGAAAACTTTTATCGTTCTTCTCTTGTTACAGGTGCGTAAATTTATTTTAAAATATTGTTTATCTTCTACATCATGATTCTAATAATTTAGTTGATAATTATTATATTTATTAGGTGCTAATGATCTCTGCTCAAGAAATGAAGTTAGCTTTCCATACGATTAAGATTCCCGCAAGTAGCTCATGGGTAATCTACAACATTTGCTTTTACGTCTGAATATTTGCAGGTAAGCTATTAAAATCACGTTACGGATCATATGATTTACTATGTTCGTAACTCGATTTTAATAGCAAACTTTCCCATTCTAAGTCTGGAGCTCAAAATTTAATTTTTATAAGACGCTACGTGAACAACCGGAAAACTCACGTGATGATTTCTTTTCATATAACGGTAAAAAGCTATTACTTTATTAATAATGATCGTTTTCATGAACAAAAAAAATACATATTTTTAACACGATAGAAATATATATACAGTATATACTACTATACATTACAGGACAAAAAGATAAAATGAATAAAATATAAATATTATTATCTAGTTTAAGTAAATACTATTTAACAGATGATTTCCTAAAATATAAAATTCAACGACAAAATCCGTCCGAGGTGCAAGTTTGGCCGGTTCGACAGCATTTATCGACACTGCATACTACAGGATTAGGACCACAAGTATTGTCGCAACAACACCCGTTTTTTCTCGGATAAGTTCCGGCTGGACACCCGTTCTGTCTTTTGATCAAAGATAATTGATTCTTGTCTTTAGATTCTTTTAAGATATCATCTCTTTTCCTATTAGGTAAAGAGGAAGCGAAAGTGATAAATACCACAATTGCAATGACTAGAAATAAGTTAAGTTTCTTAATGATTTTCATGATTTTGTATCTTGGAATAATTAGTTGTCTTTGAATTAAAAAGTTTATTATTTGAATGTGGTAGGGAGCTCAATTCAAATGTTTTATTATTTGAATGTGGTAAAGAGCTCAATTCGAATTGATATTTATATTTATGTTTTAAAATTGATCAACAGACAGACAGTACAGTTAAATGATATTGAAGAATAGATATAGACACAAATTTAATTAGCCACGATAAAATCTTCTTCTTTATAAGGATATTCATTTAAAATTCAGTTGTATTTCCTTTAGGGGAAATTTTTTTAATAAAATTTTTACCTCGTATAACAAGATCCTAATCATTATATTAAATCTTCAATATGACTAAACAAACAAGATCCGGTGCTAAAATTATAGTTCCATTAAATTATAAAAAATTCAGTGTTTTGTATGTCAGACAATTTTTGAATTTTGCATCGTATGCATAATTGTTATGCACGGCTTGAAATAAATAAGGAATTTACGGGATTTACGCCATTAATTATTATGCAGAAATGATCTTCTTGTGAACCCATTTTCCAGAAATCTTTTTTTGTTATATTTACTTTTATGGTAAACCTTTATGGTCGTATATGATCTAGTGAACCCATTTTCCAAAAATCTTTTTTTGTTATATTTACTTTTATGGTATATCTTTATAGTCGTATCTTAATGAATTCTACAATGCTATCCGTCGTTTGTATGATGGCTTGAATAAATGAGTTTACGGGGTTTACGCCATTAATTATTATACAGAAATGACCATTTCTAGAAATATTTTTTTTTGTTATATTGACTTTTATGGCAGATATCTAGACAAAATAATATATATATTTTTTTTAACCTTCGAAATCAAATTCAAAATTGAAATCGTGTAACCAATACAAATCAAGGATTTGATGCGACAGTTTCGATCTGCATGTTCCAGAAATCTTTTGTTTTATTAACTTTATGGTTTAGTTTCGTTACGCAAGTTTTTAAACTTTTTTTTTTACGTTGCCGTTGACTTCATTTTTGAAATCTCATACGTTATCAGGATGTAATTCAGCATAAGAGACTACTAAATCGCTTTATTAATATTACATCGAGGTGATATTATTTAGCAGTAGATAAGATAATAACTCCATTGAGGTGCATAAGATCCGATAATGCACGAAATTTGCATTAATCTTTGGGCGGAAACAGACAATATAATAATATTTTAAAATATTAATATGCGCATCGGGGAAAATCGTTTACGTATGTTTAACTTTGTAAACAAATCACGAAATTTCAAGGAGTTGTTTATGATACAAGATACCAAAAAGAGAACGAGTAAGGGAAGAAAATATTTTCTGAAAAATTGTTGATTATCTGGGACCTTTGCAATAGAAAGGGGGAAAAAATAAAAAATGAGTTAATGCTAAATACATATTTTGACTTAAAAATCATATTTAGCATATCAAGAGCTTTTTTTTCTTCAGGTTTTTAAATCAAGTTCGCAATAAAAGAAAATATAATCATTCCAAGTAAAAACAAGAAAAAAATACCTACATGAATATGAAAACCTTCATCATTCTACTCTTATTACAGTTACGTCAATTTATTTAAAATGTAGTTTATTTTATCCTCTTTCTACATTATGATTAATAATTTATTTGATAATTAATTATTAGGTACTAATGATCACTGCTCAAGAAGAAGTTACCTTTCAATACGATTAAGATTCCCGCAAGTTGCATGCTCTGAAACTCAAATAGCACAAGCGAGTAGGTATCGAAAAATTTTCTTCTTATTTTTTTACTCAATTTAAATGACAATATTTTCCATTTGTTAGGCTACGCTATAAAGTTAGCTGGTTAAAAAGTCACAGTAGATTCAAAAAATTATGGCGGTGCAACTATCGCCATGCCAAATCATAAAGCTACTGTTCGAGGATATCGATTTATTGCATTTGTTTTAGATAAAAAAATAATGTTCTTCCAGAATCATCTTGTGGAACTGGTGAAATACCTGCAACATCTTGCGTGAGAGAAAGCGCAATTGCTTCAATTCATTGTGGTGTTTACAAATAAACAACCCATTTTCTCAATAACAATATTTTGATGTTGTTTTTTCATTTACTCAAAGTGTTTTGTAGCAGGTTCATATCGAAAAGATACTGGTCAAGACGCAGAATCCTCCTCCGTAAAGAAAATTAATGACTAACAACAAGAAAAATTTTAGACGTAGCAACGAACGCGCTTCGCCATGATCGTTCCGTATAAGTAGGTTATTAATTTGTAAACTTTATTATGATTATTTATTTCGGTGATTACGTGCCGTTTTGGTCATTTTATTGTCCGAAGCGTAAGCGTAGGACACTTCCATTCGGATCCCAGAATGTGCATGCAATGTCTGTCCGCACGCGTGTATAGCCAATGAAATTTTTGGATCAGGTGTAACGTGATATTTTTGTTTACGTCACCGTATGTGCAACAAAATTTTATTTTAAATCTTTAATAATTTTTTTAATGGTATTACTTAAAATTCTTTAAAATTGATTGTAAAATAAGAAGTTGCATTAAAAAAAATTTTTTTTCAAATATTATGGGAACAGATACATTTTATTTTATTTTATTTTTTTTTTATTACGTTTTATATGATCATGTGATTTATAACCATTAACGGTTTCCGTTTCCTAGTATTTAATTCATAATAGTAATTTTTATTTGTTAAAATTTTTCAATTGTAGAGACTATCTTTTTTGATAGAAATAATTAGATTTATTGTAATAATTAGTAAGCATTATATGCACACTACACGTCGTTGACAAATAAGATCTCAAAGATAAAATCAATAATATTTTTAATATTACAAATAAAAAGTTAATAATTAATGTTTAAATATTAATAGCTCCATTTTTTTTTCGTATCACTTAATCCTTAAACTGAAAATGTTACGATAAACGTATAGTTGGATGGCGGAATTCTTATCTGAATATTAAGAAATATCAAAAAAGGTTCCATAGCTTGTTACTTATCGAAGGGTCGTCATCAGAACGGTCGATTTACATTTTGAAATTTTAAATATCTAGCAACCCTTCTGGTCCTAAGTAAATATCACGTGATATAAACAGTTACGGAACAGGATACCCCCAGAACAGGTTAAGGATCCCTTAATCTTTAAATCTTTTTTTACGTATAATAAATAACACTGAAAACAAAATTTTACAGGAATGTTGACACGAAGAATTTGTCATATGTATAGCGATTGTTACACAAGTATAATTCGTAATCATAGTGACATTGTTGTTTGAATTCATCTCATGGAACTGCACCACGATTTTAAAATTAAACACGTTCAAAAAAATGTAATATTTTTCCCCAGTTTGTTAATTCTGAATTTTTTCAAAGGTTATTTTTCATACTTCTTAAGCAGTGTATAAAATGGTACATATAATGAAATGGTTGATTAGTTGGTAATGTATTATGATTATCAGTTTTTGATAAATTATTTTTTAAATGTTCCCATCTGCTTTCATTCATCGTTAATGTTATAAATAATTGAGGTAAACCAATATTATTTATCATTGCATTGATATGATGTTCTTTTTCCCAAAAATACGAGTCTCCTGTTCTGATAAAAGTTAGTATATAGTAGTAATTTGTTCATTAATTATTGCTCTAGTGTATTATTAGTATCAATATTAATTTGATATGATGTTGTTATATTGAACTTTGAATTTAAAGAAAAATTTTTTTAGTTATTATGTTCATTAAAAAAAAAGTAAAAACGATAAATTAAAATAAAAATATTTTTACCTGAAGTTCTTGAGGACCGTTATTTGGCTTTATTCCATACAAATTTTCCATTAATAAAATATACATAACCTGAATCCATTTGTTTGTCAAACGAAGTAAAACTAATAAATATAGGATTGTTATTTGCAGGTCTATTATATGCAATTATTCCATTTGTAACGAAAGTAAAGTTAGAACTACTAGCAGTGACGGTATTCGCTTCGGTAACGTATCCTATAGCAGAAAATACACAAAGCATTTTTTTTTCTTTTTTGAATAATTATATTATTTATTTATTTTTAGCATTTTTAAAACTCCCTTTATATATCTTTTGTTTTTTAAAAATTAATTTTTATTTAGCTTGATTTAGATAGAGAACTCAATCGGTCTGTCGCAGCTAACGTAAGTGACCGGGATTTTTTATTTTATTATATATATATTTTTTTCCTTTCTATATTTACACATTGTTCTCATTACTAATTAATATTTTTTTTTTTATTTTTTTTATTAAAATTATCTTTTTTTTTTTTTTATTTTTCTTAGATTTCGTGCTATCGGTTTGATACGATCGATCCATCACAGCTAAGGATAAGTGACCGAATTTATTTTTTTTTTTTCTATTTTATTTTTTTTTTTCCTACATTGTTTTCATTACTAATTAAATATTTTTTTTTTTCTTTTTTAGCTCTCGTTTTTCTTTTTTTTTTCTTACTTAGGTTTTGTGCGATCGGTCTAGTGCGATCGGTCCAAGGGTAAGCGACCAGACTTTATTTTTTTTTTTCTACATTGTTCTCATCACTAATCTACTTAAATATATTTATTTTTTTTCTTTTTTAGCTCTCGTTTTTCTTTTTTTTCTTACTTAGGTTTCGTGCGATCGGTCCAGTGTGATCGGTCCGTCACGGCTAAGGGTAAGTGCGGATTTTTCTTTATCTATCTTTTTTTTTCTTATTGTTTTATTAATGTTTTTATTTATTTTTTTATTTATTTTTTTTTTAGCTTTTGATCAGGTTCCATCTGATCGGTTCATTGCGGCAAGGTGAGTGCGGATTTCTTTTTATTTTTTTCAGTCTTTTTTTTTTGCATTACTAATTACTAATATTTATTTTTTTCTTTTCTCTTTTCTCTTATTCGTTTTTATCCAGGACGTTTTTTTAGTCCAATCCAGATGATTTCGTCCGGTTCGATCGGTCCGTTGCAGTAAAGGTAAGTTTTTTTTTTGCATTGTATCAGATTACTAACCTTTTTTTTTATTTTCCTTTTTTTTATTTAGACGATTTTAGGTTTAGATTCGGATGTCAATTGGATTGTTCGGGCGAAGGTAAGTTGCGAATTTGTATTATTTTTTAACATTGTTTTGGATTACTAATTGTTTTGTCTTTTTAATTTAATCAATAATATTAGTGATCAATCGCGCCTCGTCTACCCTTAAAAAGTTAAGCTGATTTAGTAAAAAGACATTGATCAGCTACGCCGTTATAGATTTTTTTTTTTACAATATCTAATAATTATATTATACAAACCGATTTTTAATTTTTTTAAAAAAGGCTAGACTAGAAACATAAAAATTTGTAAAAAAAAAAAATACGGATATTTTTTTTGATATATAAAGAACTTCTGTTCCATTAAAACATTACAGTAAAACAGTATACAGAAACAGTATAACGAATTACTGAAACAGTATAACGAATACAGTAACAGTAAACAGTAATAATGTTTTCTTAAAAATGGCATCAAGATTTTTTCGAATGTCTTTCCTTTTTTAAATATTACAAGGCAATGATCAGCGGCAATATGAACACAATCTTCCTTTTAAGTCAACTTACTTACCTTTTTTATATTGGTCAAATATTATTTTTTATCAACCAAAATGTATATTTCGTTAAAATATGTATTTATAAATTAAAATAAGACCACATCTTTTTGGTTGATATCAGATCTGTTTCGCCAGAAAAAAAAACGTGTTCTACTGGAACACTTGTTGCTCTATAAAAAAAATGTATTAGTCGATATTCTTATTTTTATTTATTTTGTAATTGTTCGCTCCGTATTTTAAAAAAAAGGCGTACTATCGGTAACGTCGATAGGTTCACTCATTATATTATTTGTTACTAATTAAAGTCTCGTAACGTAAAACAGGTCTAGCGCGTCAATTTATATGATATCGTTTAAATCAAATCTCCTGATCATCCGGGTCAACCGGGTCGATTCGGGTCAAGCAACAACGTGCCCCTGACCCAACGAGTTTTTTTGAATTAGGACTCGTGTCATAAATGATCGAGGAAAAATTCGAGTCGGGTCAATCGATTCGATCGGCTCGGAGGAATTTTCACGAATCAAGCTCTTAAGTAGTATCATAAAGTCTTCCTCGTCTGAACCGAGATAATTCAAGTCTGACACTATATTAAAACTAATTAAATAAGGTTCGGTGCTAAATTTAGTTACTCGTTGTTACAATTAGAATTTGTATGAAAGATGATTCTACAAACTAGTTTTTTGATTTTTGCATCGTATGCGCAATTGTTATGCACGGCTTGAAATAAATAAGGAGTTTACGGGATTTACGCCATTAATGATTATACAGAAACCCAATATTTACTTTTATGGTATACCTTTATAGTCGTATCTTAATTAATTCGACAATGCTATTCGTTGTTTGTTTTACCATCGATACATTGATTCGTAAATAAAATGAAAAATTTTTAATTAATAATACCAATTTCGATCTGCATTTTTTCCAGAAACCTTTTGTTGTATTGACTTTTATGGTATAGTTTAATTGTTAAACATTTGTTATTTTTTTTTTCCACCAATATAATTAATTCGAGATTGTTTCACGTTTCCTACGGCGTATTGTTTTCTGGATACATTTATTTATTTATTCTGCAGAATGTCAACGGAACTTGTTGCTGATCCAATCGTTTCTTTTAAATTGATATTCCGAGAATTTTATACGTAGATTAGGTAACAAAAACTTCAGACCCACATTTTCCTATTTTCTTTTTGTTATATTGACTTTTATAGCAGATATCTAGGGACAAATTTTTTTTTTTTTTTAATCATCAAAACTCAAACCAGTAATTCAAATTTGACATCGTGTAACCAATGCAAACCTAGGATTTGATGCGATCTGCATTTTCCAGAAATCTTTTGTTTTATTAACTTTTATGGTTTAGTTTCGTTACGCAAGTTTTTAAACATTTTTTTTTTTTCTTTTTATTACGACGTTGTTGATTTCATTTTTGAAATCTCATACGTTATCAGGATGTAATTCAGTGTAAGGGGAAAAGTTCAGAGGTTGTTTCTTCATTCATAAAAAACTGCATTGACGTGCATAAGATCCGATAATGCACTAATTGCATAGATCTTAGACGGAAAACGAAAGATAATACAATTTTTGCGCATCGGAAAAAATCGTTGACATGTAAAGATCTGGTTATGTTGATCTTTGAACTCACTTCGAAAACATCACGAAATTTTAAGGAGATTTTTATGATACAAGATACCAAAAAGAGTACGAGAAAGGGAAGGAAAAATTGTCTGAAAATTTGTTATAAATACCCGATTATCTGAACAAGAGCTATTTTTTTTCTTCAGGTTTTTTAAATCTAATTTGCAATAAAAAAAAAAAATTAATTCCAATTGAAAACAAAAAAAAAAACCTATATGAAAATGAAAACCTTTATCGCTCTTCTCTTATTACAGGTACATCGATTTATTTTAAAATATTTGTTTATCTTTATCCTCTTCTACATTATTATTCTAACAACTTATTTGATAATTATTAGGTGCTAATGATCTCTGCTCAAGAAGTGAAGTTTCCTTTCCATACTATTCATATCCCCGCAAGCAGCGAATGGTTCGCATGCTCTAACACGGCATTTGCGAGTATGTATCGAATATATTTAATTCCTATATTGCACTCAATTTAATTGACAACATTATTTATTTTTTTAGGCTACGCTATAAAGTTAGCTGGTCCAGACTCCATAGTAGATCCGACTCAATATGGAGGTAAAACTGTCGCAATACAAAATTACAAAGCAACTATTCAAGGAAAAGGATTTCATGCATTTGTTAGTGATGCACAAAGAAATGTTATTCCTCGATCTATTTGTGGGAAATATGGCACTGCAAACGAAATATTACCAATAGCAGCATGCGTGAAAGAAGTCAACCCTCTGTATGGACAATGGTGTTTAGAGATATTTAATCCATATCTCAACGACCAATATATCGATGTTGTACTTTCGTTTACTCAAAGTGTTTTTGTAGTAGGTTCATATCGAAAGGATTCTAATCAAGACGAAGAAGTAAAGAAAAATGATTTAATAAACTTCCCAGTTAATGGCAATAACAAAAAGAGAAATTTCAGACGAAGCAACATACTTCGCTTGGATCGCTCCATTTAAGTAGTTTACTTTTTTGTAAACTTTATCGTGATCAGTTATATTTCGTGATGATATAATGTCATAGTTGCCATTTTAGTAATTTAATTATTTAATTTCGTAATAGCAATTTATTATTCGTTATTTATTTTTTTTTTTATTATGATAAAGAATGCTTCTTTAGTAGAGAAGTCTTTTTGATAGAAACAAATAGAGATATAGTAATATTCTTTTCTGCTAGCTAGATAATAATTTGTAAGCACTTTAGATACACTAACACAAATTGAAATAAATAAGTTCTAAAAGAAAATAAATACTATTTTAAACATTAAAAATAAAAAGTTAATTACTAATGTTGAAATTTTAAAAGTATTCACTTTAGTGTCAGAACTTCTTCTTTTCATCATTACTCAAAAATTGTTTTAATCATTGATAATGAATGTACAGTTAAATGGCGGAACTTCTTATCTTGAATTTTAATTGTTAGTATTACAAGAATACGATAGACCTAGGTCATCATATAATTTAATCCTAAGTCAAAAAAGCTTGATATCAAGTCTCATGTATAGTGCTCCGTGTTAAAATTACAGAACCCGAATACGACATGGCCCGACTCGGATTCGACTTGACCCGATTATTGTTAACCCAGTCGCTATCTGAAGTTGTGATATCAGAAATTCAATTTCAGATAGAATCTGATTTTCAGATATCAAGGTCGCTTGTGTAATTGAACTTCAGATATATTTGTTAAGTGGCAATAATCACGTGAAGTTTAGTTTCGGAACAGTATCGGATAGAGTATACCGTAATAGTAAACATTATTATAGAACCAGTACTATACATTCGTGCTGCGGTACGATTTGCCAGAATTCTTAAAAAATTAATATTTATAACGAACATATTGAGTAATTTTTTGATTCAACGGTAAATTTGTCAAAAGGAATTGAATGTAAAAGAAAAGCATTGATTTAAAGTAAAATCAAAATTTTATTTTAAATGATGCATTTGTCTTTCAATCGAAATAAAAAAAATAAAAATACTGTCATAAATATTTAAATTTTTAAATAGGTTAAAAAATTTTGAAACATTACAAAATATAATAATTCAATTGAGATAGTCACGCGCATAATGCGAAAGATCGTACCATGCCGGTATCCATATACCATATCGTATATTATAAGAGGCTTAAAATATAGATTTGAGTTTGTTCAAAATCCGAAATGTTTAGGATTTGGAATTAGGTTTAGCCCGAAATATTATATGTAGCACCGTTCGTACCTTTAATAATCGTGATCTGAAGTCACACACATATAATGTATTTATGTACAGTTATTCGCTTTGATATATAACTTTTCTAATGCTGCATCAGGACAATGTGTGGTTGGAACGTGAACAAGTTGTAGGATATTCGTTTTAAGTCGTAAACTGCCCATTAATTACTTTCCAGTGTTATCTATGTTTCAAAAAAAATTTTTTCGTGAATTATCTAACCAACACTAGTAAATGGTTTAAGAATAATTTGTAAAAGTGATTAACAAAATATCATGATTCGGTATTAATTCGGTTGGTTTTTTTTTATTTTGATTGATGAGATTTTTTTTGTATGGCATTGTTACTTATAATTTAGCAGTATAATTATGACTGTGTTCAAACATCTTTTGCACCGTCGCAATTTAATTTAATCTGCTATAGTGATTTAGGAGCAGTAGTGACTATAAATTGTTTCATCCTATAGTTTGTATTTGCTAAACGTCTCCGGAGGCTTTTTTTAAAGGAAATTAATGAGAAAACTTCTATTCTAATATAAAAAAGTATAAATGACAATTAATGACATTTAACTATAGATGGTGACGGTTCAAGAAGGGATGTTACAAGACATGTATTGTACGGTTGGATAAATACATACATTTTTGTAACCATAAACAGATCGATCAAATTTTAAAATTTTATTTTTTAATCTAATTCTCCCTTTAACTTCCAGTTTATACAAGAAACCTAGTGTCCCTATAAAAAAAAATAAGAAACAAAATATTAAAAACGTTTCTTAAATTCCAACTAAATAAAAACAAAAAAAATTTATTGTAAAATAAAAGCGAGTTACTTTTTTATAAATAAATCACCTGAGTTACGTGACACATCTTCTGGGTTGTATATAGTTAATACCCATACCCTTACTTTTAAAATCTCCCATCCCATCCCAATCCCAATCCCAATCCCAAATCCCAAATCCCACCCAAATCCCATAATCCCAATCCCAAATCCCATAATCTCAAATTCTAAATCCCAATTCTAATATTAGTATTATTCAAATTTGTCATATTTATAATACCTATAAATATTTAGTATCAAAACTAAAATTTAGTTAATTAAATTTATATTAGTAAAGTTATAATAAATCAAATAAAAAAAATAATGATTATATAATTAATATTTATATTTATTATAACAATATTAATTTTATTTTAAAACTATTATTTTATTACAATATAATTAATGATTTCTAAATTATCATTATTTAATTCTTCTGTATCTTCAATTTCATTATGTTCAAAATAAAATTTGTTTCAAATTCTTCATTATCTTTAAATAAATCACTTTTATTTACCATAGCTGATGCAATTTAATCAAAAGTTTCATCAAGTATTTTAAAGAAATATTTTCATTTAAAAACTTAATTCTGATTTTGCATTTGTTACATGATATAAATGCATTTGTGCTATTACTTGAAGTCATTCTATTTTAATTTTAAAATAAAATAATTTAAATAATAATAATTAAAATTTTAATAATATAATTTTGTTAAATTACCCAGTATACTATTTGCTAAGTTATCATCCTAAGATTGAAAATACATGTTACATGTTATATTATGAGAAATAATTGCATGCATTTGTAATGCATGCAAGCTTTTAATATGATCTTCTCCTTTCTTTAATTCTATTGATATCCACCAATTTATAAGAGTATTAATACCATCTACATATAGGTCATCAAAAAGATAATCACAATTTTGATATAAACTAAGTTGAATAAGTAAATATTAGCACTTAATCTTCTATTACCTTGATTTTTTTATAGATTTATTACAGTTTTTGATACTTTTTTAAAAGTTGTTAGTTGAAAATTAGATGCTAAATAAATAAATAAATAATTAATTAATATAATTAAAATAAATAAAGTTTTAATATTTATCTCAATATTTAGGATAAAGAAAAAATGCTAACATATATATATCAATATTAAATTCTATTCATCTTTTATTAAAAATAACAATACATTTTTTTTAAAATTTCAAATTTTGAAATGTATTTCTGCTATTGCATATTGTGACGGGTAAAATTTTAGATAGATTTAATTGGTAGTTTATTAAGTCCATTTTATTGCCATGTAGATCTTCTAT